GCCCCTTCTAACCACTGCGCCACCATGGCTCATAAACTTGATAATATTTCAGAAAGTGCTTTTTTAATAAATTGAATTAGACTTTTTTTAACTCTAGTTTGTTGAACAGTCCAGTAAGTCTTGTGTATGAGCATAGTAGAGATGTGAAACTTTGTCAGTTTCTTATCAGTACTTTTTGCATCCAACCAAACCAGTGATTTGGTTGCATATAAAAAGAAATAGGAAAATACAGATTATGCATCTCTCTAAGTCACTGTGTAAACCAATACATGATTCATTATATACAGCTAAAAACAGCATAGTTCATTTACTTATCCCATTCACTCATCATATTAATCTAAAAACAAACAAGTCATGTCTTGACTTATCTAGAGCAGTGGGCCCAACCATTTAGGGACCAGTTCTGTGGAGAGAGGTTTTTCTACAGACCAGAGGGGGTGTGGTTTTGTGTGCTGCCTGCATCCCATGGATGGGACTTCACTTGTTTGCACGGCCTGGTTTCTGGCATGCTGTGGCCCGATGCCAGTCCACAGACCGGGGGTTGAGGACCTCTGATCTAGAGGATATACTGATTAGAGATAAATATCTGCCCTTTGTGCAGAAGTACATATTTGTTTTAGTACTTATTTTAATATGTAGCAAAAATTTTATGTGATATCTCTTGTCTTTCTAGCGCATTTGCACAGTATAATTTGGACCAGTTTACTCCAGCTAAAATAGAAGGCTATGATGAACAGGTATCCTTGAAAATATTTAAGTTTGAAAATTATTATTATTTAGCATATGATGAGACTATGACAGAAGAGAATTAAACATATACACACAATGCACATAATTATATACAAAACCTCTATGTGGGTATGTCAGTGGTCCCATAACTGGATCTTGAATTCAGCTATCCAAGTGATGATCCCTGGTGTTGCTTCATGCAAATCATCTAAGGTACCAGAGAATGTATGTTATGGACAGTATTGCGCCATATGTTTAATTGTTTGCATATCAATGTCACAATTGCAACAAGGGGAATCTTTTATCCCCACTGATACAGGGCAGAGGGATTTCTTCCAGTATTACACCTAATTCTGTTCAACTTTGTCCAAACAGAGTCAGGCAGATCAAACCAGGTGGCTTGGTAGAGGGATCACTAATGGTTAGGCCATAATAAGGTACCTTGGACCATTCCTCTCTCCAGGCATTCTTGGGGTTAAACTGGGTAGATGTTAAGTTAATAGCTGTTTTCCATGCTGGCCTACAGGATTTCAATCTTGTGATGGGTTGTGCATAGCCCTGGTGATGAATGGGGAGGGTCTTGTGTCAACTTCTGAAATGAATCTGGCTGAAGCCATCTTTGTCCTACTCAGTTGCCACAGAGGTTGGGGGGAAAGGGGGGAAGAAGGCGCAAGGGCAGCTTGGATCACTCCCGTGGGAACCAAGGTCATCCCCACAGGTGCTGGAAGGTGGAGAGAAGAAATGACACAAAACCCGCCAATTGCACTCATTGGGTAGCGTGATCCATAGCATAGTAAAGGGGAGGGAAGTGTTATATTTAGTTATGGTACATTGAATTCCTGGAGGGAATTTTAGAATTGGTTTCACTTTTGACCGTGCAGATATTATGTATCCAATAAACATGTTCTTTGAGGAAAATTTAACCCTCAGAGTTCTGATTTGTTTGGGTTCATTAGTCGGAACCTTGACACCTTATTGTTCAGCATCCTTGACCATAGCCAAACAAGAGCTTGTTGTGAGGCAAAATAGTAATATGTTTTAATTAAGTGGTTTTTGGTAATGCAGTTTATAGAAAACATTTTAGGTTAATTATGGAGTATCTGGTATCTGAACAATCTACTCTGCAGCTGATTGAATAAATCAATAGTTTTGGTGCTGCAACAACTTCACAATGCGTGTCTTATAGTCCATTCTAATCTGATTTTATTAATTAATCACTATTATTGAGAACCCTTTTTTCTCCAAATATTGCAACAGAGACAATCATAGGTACAGAACTGCAAAGAGTTGTATCTGCAGAGGGTTGCATCATTTAAATGGAGAGAAACTGAAAGGAAGAAAAATTATTAGAATGTTGTTAGCCAATCACATAATTGGTTTAATCATCTATTTCTTTTGGTGGAAGAGTTCTATGAAAATAAATACTAATTGATATTATGAGTTTTTATTTTATATTCAAGCTTTATATTCTTTATATGTGATGGATATTGCACTTAAAAATGCTAATGTACACTATAATATCAGATGTGTATAAATAGTACTGTGATTAATTAAAAGAAGTAGAGATATTAACTTAGAAATGCCCCTTTATATCTTTTTTGTAGGTATTAATAACAGAGCATGGTGATTTGGGCAATGGGAAATTTTTAGATCCAAAAAACAAGATTGCTTTTAAATTTGATCATTTACGAAAGGAGGCTACAGATCCAAAGCCTCACGATGTTGAAAATGCAATTGAGTCATGGCGAAACTCCATAGAAACAGCAATGAGAGCATATGTGAAGGAACACTATCCAAATGGTGTCTGCACAGTAAGTATCACAATCTGGAAAATGCTTGGATTGAAACTATTATTTAGGTTGCATAATTTATTTTTTTATTTAGTATCTAAAGTTTGAAAGTTAACATTTTTCCCCATTTGTGATTAAGGTATATGGAAAAACTATTGATGGACATCAAACAATTATTGTTTGCATTGAAAGTCATCAATTTCAAGCAAAGAACTTTTGGTACGTATAAACTACTTTATTTAGAAATAAGTTCCAAAGAAAGTTTTATTGACACTTTGATTTCAGCATGTTTAAATTTAAAACATACATTCATCTTGGGTAATATTAATTGTTTTATATATATTTAAATTGTGGCACACTAGTCTCCCTTCTGCTAATTCTCCTAAATGTATCTCACAAAACTTGCTTTAAAGATTCTTCAGTCCTCCAGAGCAAATTTTAGGGCACTGGCAGAGGCCTCAGTGAGAGGTCAATATTATTAAATTGGACCGAGATTTTGAGCTATATTGCATAAACACTTTTTAATGTGAAAAAGTTATGCCTAATATACAAGTTTGTATGTGTATTGAAATTTCATTACAAATATATGCAAACTCTAAATAATTAAAGTTTTTAGTACTTTTAATTTAAATACAGTGTAAAGAGTTGAAGATTAGAAAAATCCTTTAGGGAGTGATTGGGCAGAGCTCCTTGAAATACATTGATTTTTAAAAAAGCATTTTGTAGTGATAATTTTCAAGACATAGTTATCTCTCTCTTCTCCCCCCTCTCTCTTTGTCCCTCTCCCTCCTCCGCTCTTCTCTCCCTCCGCTGTCTCCTTTTATGGATTTGTTTTTTGTTTTTTTAAAGGAATGGTCGTTGGCGATCAGAATGGAAATTCACAATAATGCCTTCAACCACCCAGGTAGCAGGTATCTTAAAAATTCAGGTATGGCTACTCTGATCTTCCAAAATAAACTCAATAGCCTAATAATATCCCATGCAAATCTCAAAGATAATTTATTAAAGAAGATTATTTTGCATTTTTCTATTGGGAAGACAATTTAAAATATTATATACACCATAAAGCAGCAGTCCCCAACCTTTATGACTTGGCAGCCTGGCGGGGTGGGGTGGGGAGATTTGCTACTTGTGCAAGTTGAGCTGTGCGTGTGTGCACCAGTCTGCCACTCTTGCTAGTCTCGCAAGTTGGTTCCAAACAGGCCACTACCGGTAGTGCTTGAGTTACTGTCATTCATTTAATGACCTTTGCTGAGGCTGCTGAAAAAAATTACTTACAATTTACTTACAAAAAATTACTTACAAGTACAATTTGTACTTTTAACCCTCACAGTATCCCCAGTCCTGTGATCAAAATTCAGGTGCTTGACATGTGGCATGTATTTACAATGGTCCAGCAACCTGGGTCACATGATCACCATTTTGGTTCCTTTCCACAGGGCTTCCAACAAGCAAAGTCAGTGGGAAGAACTGGATTCGTTTAACAACCAGGGGATTAGCTTAATGACTGGGGCAAACAAGGATTAAAAATTAGATGTGGCTCCTTTAATGACTGCATCACTTAACGACGGAGGTTATTAAATCCTAATTGTGGTTGTACATTGGGGATTGGCTACATTTTTTGCCAATAAGTACATGTCTGGACACCAATATCAAGAATTCTCTGAAAATTTTCTTTGCCTGGGAGGGAGTTGAGAGTAAATAATTGGTGGAAAATGCATGCTCCAAATAACTTGGCTTGCCAAGGAGATGGGCTGAGCCATGCTTATTTGTTCAGTTGAACATATTTTTGGTATCTCTTCTAATACACTCTGTGATCAAAACAAAGTAAAGATACACAGCCAGTGTAGTACTGTATAATGATTGTCTACCGCAAAGAAACATTTCTTCAAGTCCACTCTCAGGCAGAAAAGATCTTACTGTGCAGTTTGGGGCCACTTTCTCTCAACCCAACTTACATCACAGGTTAATTTTTGTGGAAAAATATGGAAAGGGAGCAGTATATGTACCATTTTGATCTTAAAGGTATACATTAAATGATAAAATTAAGATCTGAACAATATAAGTAAATTTAAATCTGCAATAAGTTATATGCAGTTATGTTTTAAAAGTATGTTTTAAAAGTTTAAAAGTATTTGAGTAATTGACATCTGAATCATCTCAATCTGCTAAGGACTATTTCTTATTTTGGAAGGCATATAATATCACTAATATACACTGCCAATTTCTTTTTGTAATTATTTTATTGTGAACATTCTATACATAGGTTCATTATTATGAAGATGGAAATGTTCAGCTAGTGAGTCATAAAGACATACAGGATTCTCTAACAGTGACTGTAAGTATCTTTTCCTGTGCATTGTTATAGGAACATTGCATATTTTTCATATTATGTATTACAAAAGAAGATGCCATGCTTTTCTTTATATTAGTGAAAATGTAGCATGCGCTTTTGAGACAATACATTTGCTAATAAAAATGAACATACAAGCAGCAATAAGCAACCTGTCCCGCTTTTAGGTAGTATTCCTGATGTATGGATGTGTGGATAAGATGGGGCACAAAGTCATTACATTACTTGTGTTTGATGTTGACATACAAGTATAAAAATTAGATTGTCGCACGTAACTTTTTTTGTCATTGTGACTTGCAGAATACATGTATGTTCCCAGTACATCACCATTGTCTTCGAAGGGAACCTTCACATATAAGTAGAAAAAGTACTTAGATCTCTTCATACAATTGACTTTATTAACAGAAATTGACAGAAGTAATACTTTGATCTAGAAAGCTGAACAGGATTTATTTTCTAAATCATTTTGCCAAACTTTAGCATAGACTATTAGCACTTAAAGCATCATTTGTAAGTAAAATTCATGAACTATTTGAGACTTTTTTTAATATAGAAGATTTCAAATTCATATTCATTTTGAAAGCCTATTTTATTCAATAAAAGTATTCTTTACAAACAGTTGCTGTTCCAGAAATAAAAATAGAAACTATGCCTGTGGATTTCTGGTTCCTAGCTGCTGAAAGTATAAAACATAAACATTTTATAAATGAATGAATTATAAAGAAGTTAAACAGAAGAGGAATTGAAGCTTTTCGTGTTAGCTTTATTTTTAGGCAAGACTAAGCAATAAAAATTACTTCCATTAGTTAAAATTTGACTGTGAATGAACAGTCTTTTATTTGCTCTAGGCAAATAGCTATAAGAAAAGGAGGAAGTTAGTGAAATCTATACTTTCTGGAGCATTAATTTTATGAGTCATAACTGCCTGTGCTTTTGTGTGTCTTCAAGTAAGTATTGACTCCTAATGGCTGCTTTTTCTTGGCAAGTTTTCCGAAGTGCTTTGCCACTGCCTGCTTCCTAGAGCTGAAGAGAAAGTGACAGGTTCAAGATCACCCAGCTCATTTTGTACCTAAGATGGAACTAGAACTCACAGTCTTGCAGTTTTTATCCTGTTACCCTATCCATTAAACTGTAATACTTATTTTTATTATACATACATACATACATCCAAAGTCATGTAATCTCTTGAGAATATAAGCTTAACATTAAAAATAAAGTCAATAAAACATCTACCATAATTAATAATTTAATTATAAATCTGGCAGCCTCTTTCCTATTCCCCAAACGTTTTCCAAAAACAATTCAATATTGTCTAACTTTTTGGATCATCAAGGCTTTAAGGAGATAAAAGCAATAGACTTTCAGGAACCTTCCCTCTTAGGAAAATATTGAGTGGGTCAGTTTCTCTTAAAAGAGGCTAAAGTTACCTGAGGGCAAAGTCATGTAGAGTTTATGTGGTAAAACCAGTACTTAGAATTGCACTTGGAAGCCAATTCAAGCTCTATAGCACAACTGTTATATGTGGGTAGTGAGTCTTATCCACCAGTAGCCAAGCAACTGCATTTCATACCAGTTAGTTTGTTTAAAGCAGTGGTCCCCAACCTTTGCAGCTTGGCAGTCCAGCTGGGGGGAGAGAGGAGCTGGGCCGCATGAGTGGTGGGCTGGCCTCACATGAAATTCAACTTGCGTGAGCGGCGGGCCAGTATGTGCAGCTTGACTTGCTCAAGTTGAGCTGTGCACGCATGCACACCAGCCAGCCACTCATGCAGCCCGGTTCCAAATAGGCCACAGCCCAGTAGTGGGCCACTGCCAGGGGTTGGGGACTCCTGCTTTAAAGGCACTCCATGTAAAATACATTACAATATAGATAGTTCTTGTAGAATGTCCACTCATTCAGTGATTGTCCAAAGTTATAACGGCAATGGACATGGGGACTTACAACCATTTTTCATAGTTGCAGCTGTCACAATGTCTCTGTGGTCATGTAATCATGATTCAGGTACCTGGCAACTGGCTCATAATTACAACTGTTGGGTCATGCGATCACCATCTGTGACCTTCACTGCCAGTTTCCAAGAAAGACGATGGGAAAGGAAGTTGGATATGGCAATCACATAACCCCATGGGATATAATACTGCATCCAGTTTTGGTCACCGCGATGTAAAAAAGATGTTGAGACTTTAGAAAGAGTACAGAGAAGAGCAACAAAGATGATTAGGGGACTGGAGGCTAAAGCATATAAGGAACGGCTGCTGGAATTGGGTATGTCTAGTTTAATGAAGAGAAGGACGAGGGGGGACATGATAGCAGTGTTCCAATATCTCAGGGGNTATTATTATTATTATTATTATTATTATTATTATTATTATTATTATTATTATTATTATTATTATTATTATTATTATTATTATTGCAACCATGTGAGATTCACATAATAGTGGCTCCTGGAACTGCCAGAATTGCCACCATAAGTTAGTGTATTATCTTGTTGCTGGTCCCAATTACCATTGTTATGTGAGGATAACCTGGAGTCTATACCTATTGTGATAAAGCTTCTTAATCTGAATGGTTAACAATATTATATTGTGGCTTTTCTGCATTTCTTACATCATCCTCTAGATGTAAAAGTGTTAAACTTTAAACAAAACACCTATTCTGTCTGCAGTTTGTGTACTATATTTGAATTGACATTTGATCTTAATACTGAGAGTTATTTATTTATGACAGCTTTAATTCAGAAAAAAAATTCTTTTTTATAGAATGAAACCCAAACAGCAAAGGAATTTGTAAAGATTGTAGAGGCTGCAGAAAATGAATACCAGGTATCATGATATTTTATAAGACTACTGCATATAATTTCAGCTACTGTTCTGAATTTTGCTGGACAACTTTTATCTTGTTTCTTTTATATTATATGTTCAAAATAAGACAAGTCTGTTAAATTCATGATGATTGTAATACATAGAATAAAATTTGCCAAGCATATACTTAATGACAGAAAAGTATAAAAATCAGTGTGCAACCATTTAGGATGTGATCATAGATAACATTTGGCAGGTCACTTATTTGCAATAACAGTTATTGTGGAACACTATTTCAGCAGTATGGTAACAGATGACATGACAGATAAACCTAGTTAGTCCAAAATCCAACCTTATATAGCTTTTTTGATTCTCTTTTCTCCACTGCTATATGATACAACCGATTTAATTTTGAGTTCTTAATTTTAACAGATGATAGGAACGAGATGTTTTATCTTGTAAAAGCATTCTTGATACTTGACCTTACAAGTTATAATAAATTATATTTATAATTGCAAGATATAAACTATAAGGTTTTCCCAGTGACTTAGAATACAGAAGTACTGTATTTAACTCTATTATTGTTAAAATATGCTAAGGTTTGATTTATATAATGTTTCTGTTTAATCTTAGAATATCAAGTTTATCTAATAAAGATATGGAAAAAGTTTTTGGAACATAATGATAAGTATACAGTTGGAAATGTGTTGCTTTAGATCAACAAATTGTGCATTCTTTAAGAAATATTTTCTTTTTTGTTACAGACTGCTATCAGTGAAAATTATCAAACAATGTCGGACACTACTTTCAAGGCTTTGCGCCGACAACTGCCAGTTACTCGCACAAAGATTGACTGGAACAAGATACTGAGCTACAAGATTGGGAAGGAAATGCAGAATGCTTAAAATGAATATAGCAAATATAAATAATTTTGTCCTTCTGTACAAAATAAAATTATTGCAAAGGTATTCAAAATTGTGATGTCACCGTATCACCTTGGCCATTTGCCATTGAAATAACTGTAAGTAGTTTGGTTAGAACACAAGGCTTAGGTAACTTACTCTTTTTATTTGTCCATTTGTTTCTCCTTTACAATTTAGAAAAAAAATCAGTGTAGCTGAAATGTTGAGAGCTTCTGATATATTTAGATTTTTATAATGACATGCCTATAGTTTTCAGTTAAATTAAACAGTTTGAAAAAAATATTTTTGCATAAGATTATCCCATGTTGCTTGCTGTCATGCAAAAGGCAGCTTACCAAACACAATTCCTTTGAAAATATTTGTTTCTGGAGAACATGGATTTTAGCTTATGTATATTGCAGAAATATTCTGCCCCTCCAGTCTGAAAGCTGGAGAAAAGCATTTCTATATCCAATCCTATTCAGTTATTTAAATAGCTTGATGTTAACTTTTTTTTAAAAGCCAAGATCTAATTTTATAATAAGTTGAAATTAAACATTTGTGCTTATGTTCAAAATGCATTTAATGTTCCATTTGACAGCACCTCTGATGAGTTGGGATTTTATCAGTTATTTTTATCATGCAACCATAATTGTATTATAGCAAGGCATATTGTTATATATATGTAATCCTATACTCATTGTGTGTCTGTCTTTTCTTCAGTTGAAATGTACTAAAAAAATCTGTGAATTAAAAATGCAAGTTTTCTATCTAGTTATGATTATCATTTCAAATATATATTTTGCAACAAGTTTAAGAAGGAATCAACCTATTAAACATAAAAAGAAACAGGAGCCCACAATAAAAATAATAAAATATTAAAGGCAGCGATAAGAAAGAAAATAGATGTGTGTGGTGGAGTTGTAGTGGAGGCAGCCTCTTCTTCCACAAATGGCTTGGATCCAGGTGAGTCTTCATCTAATGCAGTGGTTCTCAACCTTTTTAATGCTGCGACCCCCAACCGGTCGTAAGTCGAGGACTAAACCGGTCGTAAGTCGAGGACTAAACCGGTCGTAAGTCGAGGACTAAACCAGTCGTTAGTCGAGGACTTTTCCTGCCCGGGAGCGCCGCACATGCGTGGTTCCGCCCCCTGCGCCGGCCGAGGCGTAGCTGGCAAGCGGCAGAGACGGAGCAGGCCGACCACCAGCTGGCCCAGCTCAAGGGAGGTAAGGCACCCGCCGGAAAAGGGGGGGAAAAATGGCGGACAGCCTTGCTTGGCAACCCCCGTGAAATGGTCGATCGACCCCAAATGGGGTCGCGGCCCATAGGTTGAGAACCGCTGATCTAATGACCATGTGAGATTTACTCAACTGGGATTGCTGAAACTGATGTTGCTAGCCAGAGCATGTTTTGCTTAATAACCACATCACTTAGCAACAGAGTTGCCAGTCTCAATTAGGGTTAAGTGTGAACTTTGTAAATTGATTCAAGCTCATAATGTTGCTGAAGGAGAAAATTAAGTTTCCATTTCATATTTATAGTTATGGAAGTAATTTAATGAAGTAATGAAGGAAAGGAAAGGATGAGAAAATTTTAATCACAGTATAATGGTGAGATAATGCAAGATGCTTTAGTTACTATTATAATAATTATTTTGGTTCTGCTATGATTATTTGAACTATCAGAAGACTATCAGAAAATTAACTTTCTCCAGAGGCTGCCATTCTGCTACATATTTTTTTTTCAGAATATCAGTTTCTTTTTTTCAACTCATTTTTATATTGCATATAAGTCTGTTGGACTACTTAGGAAGCAGAGCAGAAATAAAATACTGCAATAATAGGATTTGCTGGGCACTTTCTTCATGATCCAGGTACATTCCTGTATGAAATGGTTACAATGTATAGTTTTATTTCCATACCACATTAGGTACAAGGTGAAAATCTGCTAAGCTGTATTTTCTAATTATCGCATATCCCTCAAAAGTTGATATATATTGTATAGTTTTGCAGATTTGGTATGAAAATAGTTGGTAGAGGATGGCTTTTACATTAGGTTCACTAAGTCTACTTTGATTATTGATCATACATGTAAGAATTAGATCTAGTTACATTCTTTGATGATACTATATCCATTTATACCAGTATAGTTAAATTTAGATGTGAAATGTACAGATACTGTGAGAGAAATCTTAGTACTTCAGTGCGAATGTCAGTTATATAAGTAGAGGAGACCGGTACTCCCATTAGGAAAATCCTTAATTAAATAGCTTGGTAAAATCTCTGAGGCAAAGTAAAAGCAAGGAAGTTTTTTGGGAAGATTTTTAAGTGGTGCATGGTATTCTTTTTTCTACAATTCTATTTTACGGAACAATATTTCACATTTATCATTAGAATTGTAATAAATGATGAAATTTCCTAAAATAAAGATATAAATTATCCTATTGAATTATCCTTAAAATATTTTGTTAACATGTAAAATATTCAAGTTTCAAAAGTAGATGTTCAACATATCTATTCTGAGATAAAAAAAACAGCAGCAAACAACAATATGCGAAGAATGTCCAGTAAATTTATAGTTTATTTGCCAGGTGGGTATAGAATGCTTCTTGCTTTTTCTGTTGTCTCTATAGGTGTTGTTGAAAAATCAACAGGTGTTAGGATAATGCCATTCTCTTTCTCTTCTTAAAAAGATCCTGAGTAGGATTTAATTATTCTAAAAAGCATATTAATGCTTTAGCTACTATTTGATTACTATTGCCACTACAATATTGTGTAAATAATAAATATCACATGATAAATATTTATTGTGTGATAAAGTAAAAACGGTAATGCTTTTAAAAACCATATAGTCATGCCTTAAGCAAGTGTTTTTCTAGGCTACTACAAAGAATATGGTGGTCATCAGCCTGATGACTGAGTCTGTTTGAGTGTACTACACCTATTTTGCAATAGTTTTACTGATTTCAATTAATTTTGGAGCCTCAAAACCAAATCTTTATATGGTCTTGACTCATATACAACTTTATTTTGATATAGGCCTACCCATTCATAAAATGTTGTTTGGTGCATATAATTGTAAAGAGACATGCACCACACTTCCTCCTGTCATTTAGGTCAGACGTCACCAACCTTTTCATTCTGGTGGCACAGAGGGAAAGGGAACAGCTGGGAAATGTGTGTGCACGCGTGGACGCGAATGGGGCTGCGTGCACCCGCACGGCACTAGCAGTCCCGTTTGCACAGGTGCGTAGGCGCAAACGGGCCACACGGACCTGCACAGCACTAGCACCCATTTGCGCAGACATGCAGGCGCTAGCTGCCACCACTAGCCCTACTTGCATGTACAAATGGGCCACGCAACCCATGTGCACACTAGCGGTCCCATTTGTGCCAGCGTGCAGGCACTAGCCGCTGCTGCTACCCCTTGCGCATGCGTGAACAGGTCCGCAAGTGCGAGTGGGGTTGGTGACGCACTGGCTCTCCTGTCCCACAGCCCGGTTGCCAGTAGGCCACGGCCCGGTAGTGGGCCGCGGCCCATAGATTGGGGACCCCTGATTTAGGTAGCTATAGGCAGTATTTTCCCTCTTACTTTAGGATTACTAGTCACATTAGGAAGGAATGTTTAACTGACTTTAGTTGACCTCAGAAAGATACATTGTACTTGTTTAGTACTTGGATAAGAGACCTTCAAAAAATCTGAGGACTGGGAAGATAAAATATTCCAGAAGGTAATGTCAAACAGTTTCTGTCCTGTTGCTAAAAAAAACAAAAACCTGCATGTCTATATAGTTACCAGGAATTACACAATTTAAGAGATTTATTAGCTGATATCAATTTAAAAGGTTGTTGCTATCAAATGCTTGTTGCCTTATTTATTACTTTATATTGTTATATTAGTTTATATTTCATTTTATCCCATTCGACAGGATATATTCAACTTCTGCTATCTGCAATTAGTATTGCATACTAAAACAGAGTTGATGGAGGGCCTGATAGTTTTTCTTTTTTCCAGATGCAGCTATAAAGGGGAAAATGACTGACATCTCAAGAGGTTGGGGGAATATCACCTCTAGGGATCTCACAATTTCTCATGAGAATTCTGAAATGTTACATTTCTGCCTGACATGAGAGATTTTGATATGATCATTTAAAACCTTACATTTAAGGCAGAAATAGCAAAAGCACTGTACTCTTGATGTTAAGCAATCTTAGAAGACTGCAGTAGCAATAGACTTAGACTTATATACCGCTTCACAGTGCTTTACAGCCTTCTCTAAGCAGTTTACAGAGTCAGCATATTGCTTCCAATAATCTGGGTTCTCATTTTACTGACCTTGGAAGGATGGAAGTTTGAGTCAACCTTGAGCCGGTGAGAATCAAACTGCAAGCTGCAGGCAGCTGGAAGTCAGCAGAAGTAGCCTGCAGTACTGCATTCTAACCACTGTGCCACCATGGCTCAAGTAATTTGGTAGTTCTGCAGATGAAGTCAAGATTCCTGAACCCCAAAATGCCATATTGATAACCCCTTCTTTAAAGTTGTAGGAAGAGATTGTTAATGCCTAAGAAAAGTACTAAAATCAGCAGAAAAAGGAGAGAGATATAAGGAAGTAGAGAACTCAGACAAGATGCCATCTTCCCTTCCTCTTTCTTTAAAATCAATAAAGAAGATACTAACTTTAGGTTGAAACTAAATTCTTACAATTATTCTATTATATTTGTTAGAATCTCAGAATCCTTTGCTTTTATTAGGTGAGAGTCATATATACTATGCATAACGTTGATGAGAAATCCCAAATCTTGTATAATAAATATATATCTCTTCCATGTGCTCTCTGTCTCTCTCATCTGTCTGGTATGTGCCGATAAAAAAATTACATGTCTGCAGATTTCAAAATTCTTAATCCAAGAAATAATTAAAGTTTTAAAAGTAAAATCAGTGTCTGATTTAAATGTTAAAATGCAAAAATAGAGACATTTTCAAGTAATACCTGGCCTCTTCTGTTCATTTAGTTAGTGCAGAAGCTATATCATTTTCATACTGTGATAGAAGATAAAAATACTTGGCTTTGTAATAGTTGATATGAAAGGGATTTTGAACTTGGAGCTGATCTCAAGCTGCATATGACTCAGCAGGGATGGGGCCGCCAAAAAAGCAGATGTAATTTTAGTTTGCATTTGCAGAAATTGTTTCCAACTTGGAGAAAGCAATAGTTCATAGATGCCCCCCTCAACTACTGTATCCAGTTCTGGACACCAGATTTTAAGGATGCAGTTGGAAAGAACAAGAGTGATCAGGATTCTGGAAAATTAATCTTGATAAATTAAGGAGATTTCTACATAATTTTAAGATTTCTAGATAAATTTCTAGACTTGAGAAAAGATGATTGAGGGGTTATGTGACAGCAATCATATATTGGACAGGATATCACATAGAAGAAAGCAAGAGCTGTTCCATATCATATCAGAATATGGAACAGAATGCAGATTTTGCCTGAAAATTGTTTTTTAATGGTAATAGTTAAGTTAAACCGAGGAAGTGATTACTGAGAGAGTTGGTAGAATTCTTTTTAGTAGGTATATTCAAACAAAGGTAGGGCATAGCTATTAAGTATGTTTTTAGTTTATATGACACCCAAAGCTCAACAATTCTGAATATTGCACAAAAAACATGAAAACTATAAACTTTAATTTGGATCCTGTACTGAACGCTGGGCTTGGTGGCTTAAATAGGCTCCATCCAACTCTTAGGTTTCTGGAAACGGGGTGAGTTTC